TGCGCGTGAAGCCTCGCCCAATGATATTTCATATTTCTGTAGTTGGTAGTTCCATTTGTGTCATTTCATCATGTAACTTTGGAGGGAAAAAGAAAGAAAGAAAACAGAAGAAGAAAAAGGTGAGGCCGGCCCGAGAGACTAGGTGATAAAGGGCTGCATAGTCTGAAATGGCTTGTTAACTGCCGCAACCCATTACGAACTGGCCTTGCTGGGCTTGGAAAACAATAGATAGAATGAACAGATGATATTTCCATATCCTTTTCCTTTATTGCTTTACCCCCTGAGCGTTTCCCCCAATTGGGCGAGCTAGGACACATCATTAAAATCTCGCCGAAATGCACGGCTGCTTCTGGATGAACGGCCAGCTCAGGCGAGTCGTCTGTTGAAATATACGCCACGCCGCGCTCACCGGACTCGATCTTCGCTCGCTCCGCCTCCGCGGCGATCACGGGCAGAAACACATCACTAAGGGGTTACTTGGCCCCGGAAAGCACATCTGGAGAGAGTTCTACCCGGAGAAGGTGTCATCTCTGAGGAAGCCATCTCGGATCCTGCCATGATGGGAAAAGAAAAGAACTCATTTGATTGAGCCTCCGCTATTAGATCGGGATTTTTAGAGACCGAACGCTTCTCTTGTATCTGTTACTTGTGGGATGGTGAAATTCGTGCCTGATCCCGATGCTATGGACCTGCTCAGTGGCGAGGAACCGTTGTCAACACCATCTTATACCTCAGAGGGGAATTCGTCTGGAATGGTCAGAACCTCATCGGGTTAGGTTGGAGAAGGTGCTAATGTAGATATCAGGTGACAAGTCTTGCGAGTGTGCCAGGTCGCGGGTGGAGTGGAGACAATGAACCACTTGTTCCTACGGCTAGCATGCACTGCTCGCTCATGGCGAAAAGAATGGTATGGTGAGGTGGCAGGCTTGCTCGGCGAAGGCGGCGCTTGCGAGGAAGGTGATAATATTGGCGCTGGGTCACAAAAGGGTTTGCCCCATGAACGACCGTCGTGGGCCAGAATTGCCAAAAATAGGCGAAGGAATAACAGTGTACTGAATACAGCCCTGCCCGTTTATTATGGGGAGACTGCAAAATCTGTTCTTATCGCATCTTTCCGACGAGAGAGGTCGCAAAATGCTAGGAATAAACACCCATCCGTCCCAGCTCGGACGTACCCGAAACCTCTTGCATCTGGGCGCTAAGAAGTAAAGCATCCTCATTTCTTTCCACGAGGATTCGACACCTTCCTCATCCCGGATCCTGTTGCCTCTCTTGCCTCTTCCTTCTCATGAGGTATGTACCGAGGTACTCACCCTTCAACGTGTGTTCGGCCAGTCTACGCCAAGTAGCCGAGATTGGGATTTGGCGCCACCTAAGGAGGGGCCACGTTATTTTCTTTTTCGGCCTTCAGTTATGACTGATGTGATTGTTTTTCTTCTTGTTCTTGCGTACTCCCTTCTCCCCTTTCCTTCCTCAACTTGGACTTGCTGCGCTTGGTCCTTCTCGAAGATTGTGATGGTGGGGAAATCGGACAAGGGAGATGCACGCGATTTCCACAACCGGCCACCAGTCCACGTTGGTGTGTGGCATATCTGCCACGAGGCGGATGCCTCTCCCGCGGTGTCCTGAGGGGCTACCGCTGTGGATATAATTGGGTGGGAGGGTCAATCGCCACGTGGAAGAAGCATGCGAGCCCGGAACGAACTGCCAGGGTCAACCGACTCACTGTGGTTGCTTCAACTCGGAGGTCGCTCTCGGCTGAAAGGGATGATGGACCTACCGCTTCAATCTATGTCTGTTTTGGCCGCTGCAGTGGGCCGGGGGGGACAATCCTCGGCGGAAACAGGGAAGAAGAGTGCTGTTTTTCAGGGTAAAAAAGCAATTAGCTGATCGTACCTCGCGATTGAATGCAGGAGCTTTAGTTTGCATCGAGGACTAATATTGGCAAAAGCCTTTTTTGACAGGCTTGGAACTAGCCTAGAAAGTAGCATGACTTTGGGTATTGTAGTTCCTGGATTGGGCCGATGGAGTTACGTTCGTTTGAGGCCGGACATCCGAATCTGCGAGCAGCATGGTAGGCATGGTTATGATAGGACTTTGACAAAAGCGAAGCGATGGATGGGACCGAAGCAGAAGTGGCGGGTGCTACTCTCAAGGGTGAGGTTGAGTTCTAGGACCCGCGTCTTCAAAGGTTGGTTTAGGAATGGTGTGGGAACATTGGCCCCTTGTTGGCTGGCTGGTCGTGGGCTCGAATGTCCACCTCTCGGCGCTGATCTGCTGGTGATCCATGTTGATGGCTGGGCTTTGCCACGATTGTTGGATCCTGTCACTCTTTCCTCTAGGTACTTGTAGGTCTTCTCCTTTCCCCTCCTCTGCTGTCTTTCTTTCCTTCTCTTTGACTTTTTATTTTTATTTTTATTTATTTTTATCCTTTTTATTTTTCCTCTTCCAGGGACGGGTGTCTGAGTTTGGGAGACTTAAGGATTGATTGAGCCCAAGCAGTCACAATGTTGGTTATGCTGGCTTGCGAAAATAAGACTGAACGGCTCCACTCGGATGAAAGTTGTATGCAGTAGGTAAGACAGCACGGTTGGTAGGGCCTTGCATCAGCTCACGCTGTGGGCAAACAACGCGAGACGCAGTCTACTTCTACTTCTCGCACTCCTATTGGAGAAGAAGAAGAAACTGGAGCCTGAGTTGCCACGTGAAGGGCCGGCACAAGGGTAACCCCCTTGACAGGGAACGATAATAGTCCATGTCCGTGACCGGTGTCACGGTAATTTGATGACCTTTCCAGTCCTTCCATTCCTTCAGCTCACCCAAGTATTGCAGTTCACCTTTGAAAGAGTATAGGCGAATCATTGCACTATGCTTCGTACTTCCACGGATGGTTTGGCTGGCCCTTCGATCTTCCCGAGGAAAAAGAAGCAAAACCGAGGAGGCATGACAAGCATGAAGAAGCAGCTGCTTCTTCCTCGTTTGGGATTCAGCCGACCATTTGTTCCTTCCCCGCCCCACCTTAGCCTGGCGCCCGTCACCTTGGGGCAGGCACAATGAGGGCACATGAGTTGATGGCTTGAAGTGACAACCAATAAGCCAGCCCAGGCCGCGCTTCCTCCATCCTGGCCCCTCAAGCCGAGGGCTAAGCAATGTGAGTGAGGGCGGGGTTCCTGGTCTGGTTGAAACAACGTGAGAATATCACTGCACCCTTGGTTGTTGGCACGAGGGCGTGGTAGTGTACAAGGAGCACTATGGTCATGTCCGAATTGAAAGCGACATCTGCACTAATTTTCTTTGGTAGTTAGCCTCTGCGGCAATCCATGGGCTCCATTCGCTTGTCGCGAGCCCCCATTAACACGACGAGGGCAGGGTTTAACGTTCTTCATTGAGGCTGCTGGTGCCTTGCTTCCGCAGATCCCTCGCTGGTTTTTGTTTAATACTGGAGCCGTTCATTAGGTATATGTACAAGTGATGCTGGAATTTTGGATTTTTTGCCTGGCGGCTTAATGTGAAGAATGATTGACTGTTGCTCGTTGCACCAAGCCCGTTTCGGGCGGCGCTCGAAAACCTGCGTACCTAACACCTAAGAGCTAGATATCTGGTGGGTGGTCACAATGGATCCAACCAGACGGATCTCTCACAGCTTTGCCCAAAATAATACGTATACTAGCTGTCTATTCCTCGATGGGTGTTGCGCGGTTCTGGAGCTATATTACACCGCCGGCACCCCCGATTCCTGTTTCTCTTTTCCCGTCCTTTTTCTTTTTTTTGTTTCTTTTTCTGCTCTTGGACAGGATTATTGACCATCCCATTTCTTCGCGCATCCTGTCACTTATTGCTAGTCTTGTATAAAACAACCAACCGACCCTGGCACACCCCGCTGTCCCTCTTGAGACTAAATTTGCGTCTGTCGGCCTTAGAAACCAAGCCCTCCAGCCAGTGTATTGATACGTCGTGTTCACCTCCTAAAAGGGTACCCTCGACAGCTCAAGGCGGAGTCAACAAACACGCCGCCTAAAACCCATCCTTATCCTTGGCCACGAAAACCTCCGTGCGCTCGGTTCGCAATCTCCCACCGTCAAGTATCCATCATTTGGGACTAGCGTTACACTGCCATAAAACACGCCAGGGACCCGAACAAGGAACAGACTCGTCAAGCCATAAAACGAAAGGAAAAAGGTGAAAAAGACAAGCCGGACGCGAAAAGGCAATACGAATATTAAGTCAGGGACAAAGAAGAAGAAAAAAAAATTCAAGACTCATTATTCTCGTGCCAGTGGAAAGACCAGGCCTTCCTCAAAACTCGATACCACCACTTCTTCTCCAATCGCTGTGAATAGGGCGAACCACGACATCACCATCCTCTTCGAATCACTCTCAACGTCCTGGTAGGTATTCCACTGTCTTGTGTCGCAGTTTCTCTTTTTCTTTCTTGCACTTGAGTCCGTCTAGGTATCCTGCCTCAGCACTACACTGGTGCTATGAGACGCTCTGATGCCTGTCGGGTGGTCTTCTTCAACCCCTTTTGCCCATTACCACAGATGATCCACGCATTCACAAAGCATCCCTTGCTTTGATCCTATCGAGAGAGTAGCAGTTCATTCCCTCGTTTCGCGCCCGTTTGGCATGGGGCTTCGTTTGGGCTCTTTGTCGAATTCGTCAGCTGGTCTTCTTTAGCACGGCCAGATTGTCGCCCAACCTCGCTGATCATCTTCCCGTTTCAGATCTGCAAATTCAGTGCATTCCCCCTTGCTGATCCACATCCCCATATCCCCCTTACCAGGGCCCCTCTTCGCCTCCTCGTTGACCCATTCCTTCTTCGCCGCCTAACACTCTGAACCTTGGATCCGGTTTATTTTTCTTGATTCCTTTTTCTTCTTGTTAACGGTCTTGTTCTCAGGGTTTCCTTGCAATCGACCACTCGACCCAAACTACAAATATCGCGCCCAGCCCACCGCCTCTCCCGTGTTTCTTCGGTACCCGTTTTTCCCGCCCTCAAAATGCCTAATTCTCTGGACTCGTCTCGACCCATCATGGCACCCTCGGTAGGTGATCCAAGTCACCAAGACTACGCAGGCCACGTTGTTCGCGCATTCGCTGCCGCGTCAAGCGCCAGCGACTCGTGATTATCGGGTCGAGGATCAACGACTGCTAACTTCCCACACCCATCACTAGACCCGAACCTCCGTGCGCTACAGCACATACAGCGTCACTCCTACCATCGCAACGACTGATTCTGCCCAAAACGAAATCCGCGAAATCACCAGCGGCCTCGAGCGCATGGAGAACCGTGCCCTCTCCCAGCAACGAGTGATGCTGACCGAGGAGAAGAGCATGCACATGAGCAAGCTCGCCCTCGGTGCAAAGCTAGAGAGGGCACTCGACCGTCGCATGTCTTCTCAGGATGCCGTCATGCGGCCCAGGAGTAAGAGTGTGACTCTGAACGAAAAGACCCAGTAAATGGCCCGCGGACTCGGATCTGACCGCCATCATTCGATCGATGCTGCGCGCACCCGCCTCGTTCTCTTTTGTCCCTTATCTCGATAACGCCGTCATAGCCTTGCCTGCCCCCGGATCCGAGTTTTCTGTTTACCTTCCACGCCAACCTCCATCCTCAAAGGGGCTCGCGTCCTAAACCACACGAGCAGATGCCCGGCGCCCACACATGCAACCCGAGGTGGACTATGTATTCCGGACACGATACCCTGCCCCTTTGTCATACCAGCTATTCTTACTAGCGACTACGCCTTTTCAAGAGCACCACAGACAATATCACCTTTCCGCTTTCTCAAATTTGAATCTTGGCTTTGTGCCCACGCCATAATGGGCCGTTGGCCCGCTGGTGTTCTCTTGGACGAACGGACAGGTTTTTGAAGTAGAAGTAGGAATTGTTGACGGAGCTCCGGGCCAATAATATGAAGAATGGCATCGGATCCTCACACGGATGGGGCTCGGGGGCCTTTTTCTTTTTCTTTTTCATCTTTTCCTTTCCCTCCCCAACTAACAATGCCCATTTCCAAGGGGGATAGCATAATGGCACAAGGTATGTTGTGCCGTGCCGCCTTTGTGACGGTTGTAGGATGTGATCAGCATGTTTACTTTGTCCTCATTTCTGTCTTGTTTCGTTATGGGCGTATGGAAATTTTTCTCAAGACCTTGGTGTTCTCGGGGGCTACTGTTCTGATATTCAATATATACCATTGAAGCGCACAACTCGCCGTATTGGAGCTTCCTAAACCTGCATGTAAGCCTCTTGCTCGACCCTGGTGCTCAGCACGTTGGCTAGTTGGCCACGGCTTGCTCTGCCTTCTTGCACAACGAACCCTTCAAGACTCGCGGGTGGCCGCAAGCCTCAGGTGCTTTCGGACACCGCAGAACAATGGTCACCTGCTATTTCTATCCTTCACGCTTCATTACATTCGAATAAGAGAAGCCATTGATGGCGTGAGGGTTTTTACTTTGGTAGTCGAGGTGGGCAATCTCTGGCACACTTCTCCCGTCTTCCTCAGTTATCAACGTGGTTTAGATCTACGTGTCTTCACCAACAGTTGATCTCTTCGTAATTCGAAGGCTGGGATCTACCCACACCATTTCTTTCTTCTCGACACCTTTTGCTCTCCCCTGTGCAGGAATCACATCAGTCAATCAGCCAGGCTTAGGCCCTCTCAGTCGCAGAAAGTACGAAGCGTCTCACAATCTGAAAGCAGGGGTAGGGGCCTCCCATGGCCTTGACAATAGCGTTAGCAGGAGGCGATGCGAGTGCGTAGCGGGCCATGAGGGAGCAGCAGACAAAGGGCAAGGATGTAAATGATTTTGAGTATTCCTTCATCTATCGGATGTGTGCCGCGACCTAAGAGAAAAAGAAAAAAAAAGAACTTCCAGTAACTACAAAAGGGAACAAGGAAACCCCGAAATTGAATAGTTGTACAGGCTAAGAACCACAGACGATATGTATGCGCGAGGCGAATAAAGGGGAAAGAGAAAAACCAAGGTGAAGACAAAGATGCTGAGGATCGGCTAGCTGGCATGAGCCATCTGTTTGCTAGTCTCCATTATGAGCGTCATAAGTTTAGCCACGACGCCAAACTGGGTATCAAGACCCAGCCTTGGACTTTTCGCTAAGCTTCTCGTCGATTTCCTTGAGGAGCCCAACCAAGTCGCCCTCCTCACCCTCCAATTCAAGAGCCCTGCCCACCCATTCCTTGGCCTCTTGTAGCCTTCCCATCTCCATGAGACACTTCCCTCTCCTCCACCACGCCTTGGTGTTGCCTACCCTCTTAGCCTCGACGCTCGACTCAGCGTCGACCGCGCCCTCGGGCCACCTCCTCAGCGCCATGCACGTCTGGGCGCGGTTGGCGAAGAGCGCCGATACCTCCTCGCGCACGAGCTGGGACCGTTCCCAGGGCGGGCGAGAGAGCGCCACCTGTAGCCCCATTGTGTAGGCCTTGCCGGCATCGTCGTACTTGGCCTTGCGGAACTCGGCGTTGCCCGCGTCCCGGAACCGCGTGACGGCGGCGCTGCGCTTCGGGTTCACGGGGATGGGCGGCGGGGGCACGCCTAGCGGGCCCTCGAGCTGGCCGAGGGTGAAGGTGAGCATGTTGAGGTAGGCGAGCTCTACCTCGAGGGCACGCGAGTTCGGTTGCGAGGCCGGAGACACGCCGTTGGTCTTGGGGTCCACCGAGAGGGGGATGAAGTCAAACTTGTCCTGGTCCATTGCGCTGACTGACTGAGTGTTGTCGTGGGCGGGAGAGGGCGGGGAGGTAGCGAAGGGAAACCCCTTTTGGAAGGAACGATCGGACGCGTTTGATTCGGTCTCCTTTGATCGAAATAGCTAAGGCTTGTTGAGAATTGGGAGGCGTGCGGCTTGGGGATGTAGCTGGCTCAAACAAATATTATCGCGTGCCCACGAGTCGAATGTTGTTCGAGGAGGGGGGATCAAGAATTTGGTTGTGTGTTGTGTAAGTATACCGTTGGTCGTTCTCCTGAGTCGAGCGGCCAAAATCAATGAACCTAAGCTTTCGGCAAGGTGTCGTCTTTCTTGTCCTTAAAAACTGACATAATATTGGCCCCCAGCCGCTAATCCATGCGAAATGGGCATTCAAAAGGCCAGATTGATTTTTGGTCCAGAGCATTTCCTGCCGTCTTATCAATATCACGTGCTGATAACAGTGGTCGTCCAACTGGCAAGGTTCCGTCCCAGTCGGCTCGCGGCGTTTGAGGCCACAAGTGACCTTTGCTAATATCCCGGCCCCACATTTAACAACCTCACCTCGTCTTCCAAGGGGCTCAAGATTGGATTATGACAAGATAATCAAGCCTGTCGGGGACTTAGATCTCTCTAGTATATACATTACTCGCTTATAGTCAGTTGCTCGCACAAGCCTAGGCTGTCTTGTCTTCTAAGTGCTTGGCCGCCTTGATCGTTGCGTGCCTGCTAGTCATAGATGGCTATCACGATCGAATGCCTACTGGGGGAGTGTTTCTTGAATGGCCGTTTTGATGTATATGGGGAAGTGAGCGATGAGTGGAATGGAAGAAAAATATGATGGATCCATGGATGATGATGGAAGGAAAACGTTCCTAGAAGGGGAAACGTTTCCGAACTAAATAGTGTGTGGGAGGGTCGAACTGATCGGGGGCACCACCACCAACAGTGGTGCTCAAGTCAATAATCTGGAATCTGGATGGGCGCTAAGTCTGACCTATCGCTCAGCCTGGCTTTGGCAGCCTCTGTCAAATGAAAAGGCCAGGGTAGGCCAAAGTCCGTCTTAGATTGTAGTCGTCGCCGCCCAACACCATGTCGTATCTCGGTGCTTTATCATGAGTAACTCAAGAAAGTGGCCGTCTTTTGCATTCACCGTCTTCTTGCATATACATATCCATGATATCTACGGCTACGGCATATAGAGAGGAAGGTCACAACTATCCGCCAGCTTGGAATGCCGAGACCAAGTTCTTGTCCCCTCTTGGCCCTATTATCGACGTAAATTCAGTCCTCACCTTCACCACTCAAAAGCTCGGCTCTAGATAGCGCTAGATATCATCACCAATAAATACAAGAATAAACAGCTGTTGGACCTCTATTGTATAAGGACGTCGAGCTTTGCGAACCGCAGCCCCTAGGACTGGCAGATGTGTAGCTGCCGGGGCATTCAAGACATAAACGTCTCACTAACCTCCCACTTTTGATCAAACATTCGACATACCCAATAGAGCGGATCGTCCCAGTTGGTCATATCCCTAAACAACTCTCCTGGCAAGTAGTAGTCAGCAAAGACCTCTTATAAACCCATGTTCCAAGTGTAAGACTTACTTGTCTCCCGCAACTTCTTGCAACTCTTTTGGATAAAAGTGAACTGCTCAGCAGTCAGATCCATCAGCCGGGACCGGTGCCGGTCCAGACAGTCGACTTCAAGGGGATCTTCATCGGTGCGGTAGTAGTGCCAGTACGCGAGGAGAACGTTTGCGCCGAATTGAAGCTCCTCTACAAATTGAGGCAGCGAGTAGCCCTTCTGCGGCGCGAGAAGTCCTACTTGTTAGTCATGATGAATTTGGGGTTGGAATTTCACCCATGCGTACCAGAGCTCCATTTTCCCTGCCATGGCGCCGGCGGTCGGCGGAAGTTATTGACGCGCTATGGAGAAACAAAAGGTGACGAGATAGAGAGTGAACCAGTTTCGTGGTTTATTGGCTTTGAGATGGTTGTCTAGATGCTTCAAGACTCGTTTGCGTAGGGGAGGAATAACTTCGCCTCCGTATATACTATCATTCTGGGCCACTATCATGCGGGGGTCGAAACGCGACCATAAAGAGGGTATGATTGGTCATCAACTTTACCATTCATGTCGAGTTTATCGGTGCCGCATACATAGGACGACCCGGTGGTGTGTTCTAGTTTGGTGGTAAGCTACTCAAACGGGCCATCAAATGATCAGCAGGAGAGAAACAACGCACTGATAGCTACCCAAAGCCGGAGGGCGTCCACCAAGAATTGCCACTCATCCGGCTGTTGGCAGTCCGGAAGCCCGTCGACCTTCAGCACCACATATAATTGCGTTAGATATATTCGCGTGGTTGCACAACGCCTCCATAGAGTGGCAGTCACATCTACTCACCTTTAGATTTTGGCACTGTCGTTTCGCCCACTGAAGAGTTTCGAGGACGAGATCGTCGTGATTCGTGTCTCGAATAGCCATTTCTAGAGTTTTCATGGTATTCAAGTTGAGATATTCGTGGAATTTCAAGGCTGTCTGGCGAACGTTGACCAGTGCGTATGGTGCCAACTCTACTCGTTTTTCCACGTTTCCATCTCGCCAGGACCGGAACGTGATGTCTCCAGGACTAGGTTTGAATTTTCTCACTTGGAGGGCGAGAGGCGTAGGGCAAATTCCAAGAGTAATGTGAATAGTGCGTGGCGCTTCACTAGACCATTCAGTAACATCCCGTATTGCAAAACCTTGCCATCGCTCAGTGAGTCCGAGAGAGCCGCCGTGACCAATGTCTGCTCTACAAAGCACAATGTCTGTAATCTTCCAACGAAGGCACGGGAGCCTATGAACAACCTTTTAGACTCCTTCTGGACATCTCGACAGGTCTGGCACTCGGCGTTTGGGTCATCGAGAGAAGGCTTGCACTGTTGCAGGTCAATGTCTACTCTTGGCCGTAGTTTTAAACTGCTGGTTTTAGACATCCGAAGGGATGGAGGGCGAGGAAATTGAGACGCTGCTAAGAATGAAAGTAATCATACCCGAGAACGCTGGAATCGGCAGCGAATACAGGCGCCCATTTTACGCGTTTCTCCCGTTTCTCGACGCGCATCTTCGCTAAATGCGGCCCGTGCTTTCTTTTGAAGTCTTGCTGAACTCGAATCATACTCGTCAAGATCGTAGGATATTTCCGGTTCTATGCTGTTTGGTTCGCCTTCATCAATACCTGTCTCGGGAGACTCTAAAGACGATGACCCGCGGCTTGATAAGGGCTGGGCTGGGCCAGGGTCTCCTTTTTCGTGAAACCGAGGTGGCTCAAATGAGAGGGCTCCTGACTGTAATTCACTACGTTAGGGCCAGGCTGCATTGGCCGGGGGTAGTCACCCCGTCCTTGTAGTCCCAGGTCGCCAGGGACATAAGCTAATGGTCGAGAGGCGTCTTCAGATATGGTCTGGCTGGAAATGTCAGTTGGATAGCTTGGGTGGTGTAGGCCGGGCGTATATGCCCGGGTTGCTTGCTCTTCCCTTGCTAACTGCGCCGGCATGCGGGGATGGCCGTCAGAATACGATACGAAAAGTCATGAACCGAGGCACTCGAATGCACTCTCGGATCTTGTGATATTAAGGGATCTATGTTGATGGATGAATGCACTGAAGTGGCATGTCCAATAGGTTGGGAGTGAAGATGGGGATTCGAGTTACTGAAACCGTAAGACACTGATGAGTTATTTGGGGCTAGCGGGCTATGAGACAGATCAGTGAGATTCTGCTGAGCAACATCGCGCGAGGTATAAGCGAAACTGCCTCGTAGACGTGGAGCTCTGAGAGTAGGAGAGAGTTGGAAACGCTTTGATTGGTTGGTCGAAGTCGTCGTTTCGCCATTCAGAGACGGGCCGGCCCCGGGAAAGCTGGGCTGCATCTCGACGGAGAGCTGGGAATCTGGCGGGTTCTGCGAATCCGCATTAAATGACCCCAGCCGCGCGTTATGAGTACCATGGTTCTGGCCATCGACGAAGGTGGCGGGTTCCGGAATGCTGTTCGTCATATGCGGATGGATCCCCGAGGTCGGGATAGCACCTGAATACTGTTGAAATGTTCGTATCTAGCCAGGAAACGAGTTAGCTAGCGACTAACCAACCGCATCAAAAGGACTGTACTCGCGTCAGGTTCTCTTACGTCTAAAGTATGCCTTATGCGGTCAATATCTGGAGTTACAGAAAGTATGTTATCTGCCGCACCACTAGAAGAGCAAGGTTGTACACTCCACTCTGCTGAGGAATGGAGGGCTGGCGGATGGTGTTCATCCCAACTAGTAGTTCTCGAAGCGGCAGATGACGAGGAGAGTGGTGAGGCAGATTGTTCATCCACATTAGCGTCCGCCGGAACTATATGGGCATGACAAGTTTCTGTTAGCGCTGCCTTATTCTAAGCACTCAAGGTGGCACAATGGGCAAGCATGCGGGTAGAACGAGTGCCCGCTGGGCTGCCTAAACCGCTCACTTCTGACACGTATGCCGTGTGCTGATAAAGGAGACTCTGCCGGCATGGTGGGTGTAGAGATAAGGCTCATGGGATAGAAGAGAGCTGGCATGTTCCGGATATCCATGCATTGAGCCCAAGCAACAGTCACTACACAATCCAACAAGCAAGATGGAATGTGAGCTATGACTGAAACACAGAAGAGATTCAACGCAAAGACAACGCTAAGGAAGAGAGAAGGCGGGGAAAATGACACATCGGTTCTTCTTCTGAAGAGAAATCCCAGCCTCAACTTCTGAATTTCGAGACCGGTCTGGCGGCGCGAAGTCAAAACACCAGCCAGTGCCCGACGGCAAGCCGTGTTCAAAAGAAGATGAGGCCATATTGGGGGTAGATACCGGAGGGCGGACTTAGCACAAGGGGAGAGGGGGCCGTCGCGTACCTGCGGGACCCTGGAAGCCGGCAGCGGTGTTACCGTACCGCCTTGGCCGGTGTCTGCTGTAGTGTGGAGAAGCAGCCATCTGGCGAAGTCTAGAATTATCAGAATTATCACAGACTTCATGCCCCGGTGCTAAATCTCGTGTTGCCGAGTCCACGGGCAATGGGTTCTCGCCTGTAAAGCCAGTCTGTTTGACAGTGGAACCCATCCATGGTGGCTGTGTACCATCAATAAGATGCGGAGGTTGGGACGAGCGCTTCAGCGGCCTAGCCTCCGAAGCATTGTTGGTTCCACGTCTTTTAGACCGGGTTGATCCTCATCCCCAGGAGACCGGCGAGAAGACTGAGGACGGATTAGTCGAATTGATTCCCACCGGGAGTATGGGGCAGGTAATTGCGCAGATGCTAATGACATGCTTGGGGAGTGCAGCCGAAAACTAAACCCTTTGCAAGGAAGGAAAGGAAATTGTGCCAAGGGGAGAATTGAAGTCCAGGACGACCAACGCAGAAGGATGAGAAAGATTGAGGGGAAGGGGAGGCTAGCTTACCCCGGTGCTTGATGTATGCCCAATGCCGGATCTCTCGTTACCTGCTTCCCTGTTTTGTGGCAACATGGCAATTACGGCAGCTTAACTCGACAACAACGTGGACCCTTTGTCGTGGTAAGGCGCGGCTGAGATGCACCTCACGTCGAGGCAGTTACTCAGTGAACCCGGTGAGGCGCAGCCAACAGTAAATGTGAGGTTGCGGGAAAGATAGAGCAGATTGGGTTTTGGCTTCGAGGTCGCTTCGTTTCGGGAAGCAAGGGAATGGCGGTAATAGGGTTCAACTTCCTTTCCACCCCTGTTAGTATTCCGCGGTTTGGCCCAGGCTCTACTTGTTTGGCGGCGACCTTGCTTGTTCGCTCGCAACCCGCTGATATAATAATAATACTCGAAAATCCAAAAGGAGAAGTAGAGATGGGCGGAGCAAAGGGAGCGTGTGCGAGAAGCAAAAGCGGGCAAGACATCAATTCCACATCCGCGAGGTGCATGGGTCTCACCTCTCAAGGATTGGTCAATGACAATGAGTGACATGAGGGATAGTTTACATTTAAAGTGAACCATCAACATTGGGCGCAGAGGGCCTATACATTCCAGCAATACAAGAGCCACACTGATAGCAAATGCGCATCCATCAATACTCACCTACCATGCCTATGGAGGGCTAGATATCCTATCGTTTCCTCCCAGCTAGCACCTTGTTTCTTTTTCTTTTCTTTTTCTACCAAACCTTCCCTTTTCCTTCCTCACATTTTCTCTCTCTCCCGCGTCTACTCGCTCTTTCGCCTCGGTAGCCCCTCCCATGCCCTGCCGTGAACAGGCGCCGCGCCTCCTCCCCAGCCGTTACTTCCCCCAAAAGGGGATGTTCGCTGACGCGCTTCAGAACGTCTGACTAAAAAGACAATACTTGACGAGGTAAGGCACAAACAAAGTATTGATGGAGATGGATCCATTTTGGAAAGCTCCGGTTTAGGGGGTGAATAGCGCGTGCCGCCCACTATTAAACCATTTAAAAACCAACCACCCCTCATCAATGATCAATCAAATATGATGGTCTCATGGGCGAAGTCAGGCGGGTAGGTTCTGGAAGGCTTCCTCTGAGAAACGCGTGCGCCGTCACTCCTCGCCCATGACACGCTTTGAGTTGTTTCGCTCGCGCTTTCTCGTGCCGCGAGATCTTTCTCTGCCCAGCATCCAACCTGGTCTGGACGCTTTTCTCCCGACCCTCGCTCATTGATGAAAGATACTATAGACCAATAAAAATACCATTTCGATACTGGATTGAATAACAACCGCCGCGCAATGGTTCCACTCGTTCGTGATCTTTCTCATGAACGCTGCCTCATTGCCACCGTGCTAGAAGAACGCCTGTCAGGTTGCGACTGACTCCGACCATGTATACGGTTTAAATATTAGACAATCGCACTGTATTTGCATCAGCTGCCAAGGGTTCGTTGGTCTGCAGTACCACTTGTACATATCCCTGACGATTCGGAGCGCGACGGAGCTTACCTCACCGGCTTCGACAATTTTCGCCATGGTCTTCTCTGGGCTGTGTATTCCCCTGTTCTCTGCCTAACATGCGACGGCAGAACCCTATAAATATTGATCGGAGCTCGGAGCAAAGCTAAATACCTTGGTATTGCCATCAATTGATGCCAATTGATCACCATCAAACATCAAACCTCCCGTTCCTTCGCTCGTCACTTGGAAAACCATTGACCCGATTGATCGGCCATCGAGGAAGTTATGATGGAGTCTAGTGACCCTTAAGGTGGAGTAGATTCTCGTGATTGGAAATGGGCAAGCATGGAGGGTATTGCTTTCTTCCGCCTCGGGTTCTTTCAGACCAGACGCCCAAATGTCCTTTGTATCCACCGGCCTTCGAGACGCCACTTCGGCGCATGAAGGCAGCCTTTAAGGAACGAATCCCCTGCTGCGGCTTTGAGCACCTTGGCGGGCCCGACGCTTTGCTACTTGTAGTTTGAGACGCATTCAACCATTTTGATCAAAAACGATGCTCGTTCCTAGGATAAAAGAAGGAAAGCCAACCTGGTCTGCTCTGCAACTCCTTTGTCAAGCCCGAACTTGGGGGAGGGAAGATCTCGCCGGAAGCCGGTGAGGAGTTTAGAAGGTGACGGGGAGGGTTCTAGAGCCGCTGCTTTATAAGACAGCCCTCGTAGGCCTTGTGCATGGCCGAACAAGTGAAAGCCCGAACAAGTGCACTTCTTCAAGTTTCCCAAGTCTTCTCCCCTCTTCCCCCTCCCCCACCTCCTCTGCAGCTCTGTCCCCTCTTCCGCCCATTTTCCCTCCTACTTCATTCTCCACTCACATCCTTTTCCTCCTTGCGTATCTTTCCCTAAGTGAGGCCCCAGGCTCTGTCCGCGTGTTCGCTTTATGCCAATTCGCTACTCTATCTATCTACCTCCGCTATCATTGTGTCTATAAAGGGTCGCTATGCGCGATTCGATGAACTTAGCTTGCAAATTCGGGGATGAAATAGTTGCACCACTGTCGTCATCGCCGAGAGACTTTCCCATGTCAAATGTGCATACCCACCATGATCCTGTACAATTGTCGCAGGGATCTAAAGTACTAAACCCTGTCGCTTGGTACGTAAGATCCCTTGATACCCAGTGCCCATGCCTTCTTGCTACCGGTTCTGATAGCCACTCGCGCATTCCGTAACTCGCCCAGCATAGCGAGATTTCGTCGTTCTCGCCCAACGATTCGGGCTATTACGTAGCCGCGGTCCTCTGGGGAACCACATCAATGGGTGGGAGATAGACTGCGACCCGGGGTTCACCAACCCGGCGTGAGGTGGCATGTCTTGTTGCCTTCTGTGATGCGTACCAGTCGCGAGTTCTACGAGGTTTATTCTTCTCTTGCCATCCTCCTATCGGGCGCAGACCCCGCCATTCGTCGCGTCGGGGATGATTGTGTACTAGTGCTCGCTATGGATCTTCTACTGGTGGCTCAACTTCTGCACGCGTCCCTCGCGTATGTGACGGCATTTATGGAGCATCGTCTCCGCCGTAGTCCCTAGCTTACCCTTTTTCATGCAAGCGGTCAAATAGATCATTGATCCCCTTCCCATGCACTCTCATCGGCCGCAGAGCTAGGAGTATGTGATATCTGGTGTAGTCTGGTGGTATTACCCGTCTTCCTGTTCGTCGCACAAGGAAGCCGCGCTATTAGATGGACCTAGGTTTATAATTCCAGATTACCATACCATAGATCTTTGATATGATGCTTGGCTGAATAAACCTTTCTCTGATATGCGAATATATTGTCCTTCTTTCAGAGCGTCAAGTTGAATATATAACTATTCTGATATATCTCGCCAGTGTCCTCATCAATGCACCTTAACTAAATCATTTGGTAGTGAAGGTGATCTCTTTGAAAATATGAAAAAGCTTTTCATTTCTTTTTTATTCTTCCCTTTTAGGGGTGGAGGGGAGTCTTTTTCTCTTCCCTCTTCTAAGGTGTCTTCATAAGCAAGAGGGGACAAAGCAGCACACCTTGGTCCTTACCATCTGCTTTCTGCTTACTATTGAAGGTAGGTGGAGTGGGTTTTATAGATTTGCTAGCAGCTGGCAATAAGAGCTACATCAGCTCTAGAAATTACCCTTTTTCTTTTCCTTGCTCTCTAAGTGATTCTTTATTCTTTCCTTGATCCCTAGGATACACTACACCCTTGTATCTGTCCCTTCTTCACCTACTGGTATATATGCACTCATTAGTTCCTTCCAAGTATTCTGGGCAAGCTCGCTCACATATTTCCCCTTCAATATTAGAAAGCTGGACCTAAGTGCCCTAATAGAGGCCTTTCTTTCCTGAGTAGCACCTTCTCAAGATATTGACGACATATTCCCAGCTCCATTACACCCTACAAGCTATCTGGTTCACCAACAGCTCCTACTGATCCTGAATCACTATATCAAGTGGGCTGGAGCTGGGCATCTATTTACAACTCTACTGATTAAATATGAAAACCAGCCCTGCTCCAGTATCCTGAGCCCTGCCCTGAGAATTATATAAAGCGAGGCTTCCCCTTTAAAACTTGGTAGTCTTCTCATCAACTCCCATCCCCTTATCTAGAGAAATTCTAACCATCACCAACACACCACCTTATTCCTCGCAAACATCCCCAGACTTCCAAATACCCCGCTTCATTTTCTCAGTAAGTTGGCATCAGTTCAAATATGATCAGCTATCTTATCCTGCTGCAATCCTTTCCTAACCTATAGTAGGACACCTGAACTTGAGAATGTCTTCTCCTACTATTATTCGTGGGCCTCAGGTGTGGGATGGCATGCTGGAGAAATCCCCAGAAAATTTCACCTTGGACATTTCCAAGGAAGACCATGCTGAGATTGACCAAGCTCTTAGCACTTTCAAAAGTAAGTTCACACTCACCATCCCCCTTCCATTATAGAACTATAGGTCTAACAATCTTGGGTCGATAGAATTTGAACTTGACGGTGGTTGTGTCCGCCCTGATAACTTCCCCCTCCCCAGCTTCATCGAGCGCTTCGAAAAAGCAAAGGATGTGATCCATAAGGGTGCTGGATTTTTCATCATCAGAGGCATAGATCAGACTAAGTTTTCCGTGGAGGACTCTGTTGTTGTCTACCTAGGCATTGCCCGACATATCGGAGATCGATTCGGTCTCCAGGACAGGAAGGGAAATTTGTTGTGTGGGTGGCCCATATGCTGATGTCAACCCACTGCTCTATCTGGTTTTGAGCTCCTTCACTGACAAACTTGACTTGACTCTTCTAGGCCATGTTACCGACGCGAAGACATGGACGGTCCCCCATCACCTCCGCCATGGAATTCACTCGACTAAGGAATTGGTACGTCAAAAGGAAACTGACCACAAGTTCCAACCTTCATATCTTTATCTAGCTACTTAGTTATCAAAACCGTGGACTAACAGGCGCTCGGTTGCAGCCTTTTCACAATGACATGGGTTGTGATATCCTTTGTCTCCAGGCCCGACAGAGTGCCGCCAGCGGTGGCTATACTTATCTTGCCTCGGGGGCAACCGTTTTCAACGACATTGCGACTCGCAGCCCGGAGGCTATTGACACTTTGTTCGAGAACGGCTGGCCTATCCAAGTGTATGTCTCTACAGTCCTAAGAAGTATGAATATTCTATAAACGTTAGCTAATCACTCGAAAGAAGCTCCGGTGAAAAGCCTAGCCATATCTTGGCTCCCTTGATGAAAATCCATGACGGGAAATTGTTGACCAGCATGGACCCTGGTCGTCTCGGTCCTCACCCAACTATGGATTCAGAGACTGTGGGCATTCCCAGTCTCAGCGAGCATCAGAAGGCGGCTCTCGAGGCTGTTATGGAATCGGCCAAGCGCAACGAACTTCGCCTTCGCCTGAACACTGGCGATATTCTTTTCGTCAATAACTGGGCGGTTTTGCACCGCCGTGATCCATACAGCGATGACGATCATACATCGCGTCACTTGGTCCGCTTGTGGCTTCGAAACAATCAAATGGCTTGGGCCATCCCTCAAGAGATGCAGGTGCCTTGGAAGGCGGCCTACGGTCGTAGCGAGGAAGAGGGGAGTTATTCTATCTACCCCATGCCCGAGTACAAGGCGCCTCGTTACACCGCTGGCTCTGCTGCCTTCGTGATTGAGGATAGCGATGACGAGTAAGAGGGACTTCCTTGTCGTTCGGGGTTAGAAACTTGAGCATAGCTTGGAGAAGGAGATGGGCACGAAACCATCTGAGGACCAGCAGGCGTTTAATATGATTTCGGCTTTCGCGTAGTTACTCAATCCATAGATGGAACCATTTCACACCCGTATGCCGGACCTCGTGCCACGCTCTTTCTCCGTCCCATCAATTGTAATATTATAATGTCATGGTTGATCGCCACATCCATTTCTCTCCCTACCCCGACACACGTCATATCTCCTCCATGGACTCTACATAAAATCACTAGAACTACCAAGGGAACAAGGGGGCCAGTGGAAACGAGGGCCTCGGAGAAGTCAACATCGATTACTCGTACTTTTTTCCAGGGCGTCGCTAGGTTTGGAGGTGATTGTGTGTGGTGGGTTACGTGTTGATTGTGGCTACCCTCTTTCTTTCTGGGTGTCATCTCTTCAGGTTCAGAGTGTAGATAGACATGTGGAGAGTGACATGCGAGGCGGCAAGAATCCTATCACTCTTTTCTGTCCAGGCGCACACGAGCGTCCCATTGCAGTGCCGACGGAAGAGCACGTGATTGGGAGGTGAGAGTTGAGGTCTGGGAGTGGAGTCGAAAAAGCAAGTACCTCTGTATCGAGTAATGATTCGCCCGTCCGGCCCTGGTAGCCCCACTTTTTATCACTCTTTCTCATCCAGCATGGCAAATTCGCTAATATCGTGGCAAGCGGTTCCGGGTTGTTCTTACTATTTCTTGTGATTCGCCCCGAAGGGCTTCTTGGGCAAGATATGCGGAATCAACGATCGATCGCCCCAAAGAGGGTATTGGGCTGGCGACGTCTCCCAAAAAAAAAAAAAAAAAAATTTCTTTCTATCTCCCTTCTCAGCACTTCACGTACATTTTCTAGGTCCCGCATCGATCGCTTTTTCTATTACTTTTTAAACCTCGGTACTAGAAGGTACTATTTATGATTGATTTCTTTTTCCTCGCAGTGGTGTGTGAGGGGACCCGACGGAACGGAAGGTTGGAGGGAATGATGACTGACTAAGTCGGATCTGTTCTAGTCGAACGGTTTGTTTGGGTTGGCTCGACCATGAGCCGGGGGTGGAGGGTGGAGGGTGGAGTATTGTGTGGCTTGTTGGTCTGGCCCTATGAGGAGCCCTAGCAGGCTTGTGCCAACTGCCTTCTCTCAAGCATTCTGACGTGGATTCCTGATAATAAACGCAAGATGCGACCTGCACAGGACGGCACCTGCAGCATGCAAAAATTCTCCTTCTTTATTCTTTGGGTACCAGCTGGCCCCCGTTGGAAATGAAGCGGGACAATTCAATCCATGTGAATGATAGTGGAACCCGAGGAAAAGGGACCACCTTGTTACTCAACCCTCTGCACATTCGAAGTAGCATGTTGTCTTGACAAAGGCACCGTTCTTGGTCGCGCCTGCGGTGCTGCGATTTTGAATGGGAGGATAGCATCAGAACATGGGAAAGTGGGTATGCGCGGTCTTCAAGCGGCGTTACCGTTCCTCTCACCAACCGCCGTGAAATTCCTCGCTGGCGCACCCCCTCCTAGGTTACTCGCTTCGGGGTGGGAGGAACGTGGAGGCAACCTTTCCCAACGTCCCAGACCAGACGGTTTCCTGCAGGCTGTAATCCGACTTGACAGGTTACCTGTGTCCTGCTGAGTCGATGACGCCGAGGTGACGTAGGATCCGGTTACCCTCTGGTGTTCATAGCTCTTCGTTCATATCTCATCAAACTTTGACACAAGAAAGCCCCTTCTGTTTCTCTTCTTTTCTTATCTTCTTCTTTTCTGGATCTTTCGGCTTCTAAGAAGTGGGGAATAGAATCTGAATTCTGACGGACTATAATTCCTCGTCCTATCCCTATCCCCTCTTTGCGTCAGTGGTGAGGGGGTTGGGGGTATTTGATTATTGGAAATTTGGAATTATTCCATCGCCACAATCATCGCCGCTTCTGTTCCATGACTGAAAAGGACGGTCATCGTCGTCCTGGATCGGGCGTACTTTGTAACACGGAGGGTGGTGGGCCGCCTTTCCCGCCCGACTGCTCAATGTCAACTTAGCGCTCGCCCCCGCTCTTTTTCTTTTCACCTCACTCTGTTCGTGGAGTTATGATTGACACTCATATCTAAATTCTTTAGCACGGGGTAACACTTCTGCAAGAGGCGCTTTCCTGCAAGGTAAGGTGATACTCGACACATGAGGGCAATGGGTGAAACTAGCCTTAAGCTGAGGGTATTGAAGAATCTCTCTTTCCGGCTGTCTTTTCCTCTCCCCATCCGCCGTTCTAATATAAGCAGAAGGATAGAATGAAGAGTCTTTTATCATGGCTCTTCTCGATGCAATTCATTATTCTCGAGCTAAATCCCAGCTATAACAAAGTTGCCCAGTGGGCAAATTCCGTTTTCACACGCGTTGCGCCGGACGATCAGATGGCTTACCCGCCCTGATAATGAGCGGGGCCATTTCTCTTTGCACGAATACTAAGAGGGCACCGGGTATTACGACAAGTAGGTGTACAGACTGCAACTCTGTCTGTGTTTTGGAAAGGGGGCGTGCGCACGGGGGAACCACCGCGGAAGGGGAGCCGGTTTCCTGGTTCCTTCAGAAAGCTCTTCGGCTCGTCCGTGGTGCCATGACATCCACTAATCTGGTCAACGGTGGGATAGGGTGGAACGGGTTGCCAGGCTCTGGACCCAGGCTCGCCAACACCTATCCGTCCCCGGCTTTGATTCCTCGTGATGGAGACCCGGATTTATTCACGGTCATAGAAAAGGGCTCATAGTAGGTAGGGTGGCCCTTGCCAAATGACAACGCCGCGAAATCCGGCGTTCTATGTGGTAAGAGAGGGGTAAGGTAGCCTGGGAGGTCCTTTTGGGCTGGGGCGCTGCTCGGCCTTCTTGCAATTTGTGACACTCCGTTTTATGCTTCTCGACCCCTTCGTGGGACCACCACGTAACCTGCAGCGTCTTGTCATTCAATGTTCTGACTCTCCCACGGGGCAGGTGGGGGGCGGGTACTTCTTCCCTCTCCGTGATGTCAAGCAGCACAGCTAGGCTGCCCGTTAAAAATGACTTTCAGCGAAAGGGGAGAAAAGGGTACGGATCCTTTCATATCGTATCTATTGGATGGAAGCTCAGTATGGCCCCTCTTACCGTACTCCCCGCGCTCTCTCTCTCGGCAACATTTTCGGGACCTTGTTCAGTGCCGAGCCTGCGGTCTTACTCGCTAGATGAGCAAATATTGGTTATGTTGGTCTCCGCGATGTGGCTGCTCAAGCTGCGGCTCTTGAGCTGGAAACGACGAATGTCACTCGCAGATTGAATTTGTATATGAGGCCATAGAGTTTTGTATATTAAATCGCGCTCTCGTTTGTTGAACATCACCCCACCCCCACGAATCGAGGGTGTCTACGGCGGTGGTCACTTTCATAAACTTGTCGGGTTTGGTAGGCTCACTGGTCTTCTCCCTCACGCTCTCTCATGCTTGGAATTTGCTGGAGGGGCAGAGGACTGAGGGGTGTCGAGGCTCTGAGACACTTCAACTAGCTAGCAATTGCTTGCATGAGGTGCAGCTGGGTTTGCGGATGTGTGACATCTCGAGACTACTGTAGAGAAACATTCTATTGCTTTGTTGACGACTTCTACTTGGAAACTCTTTCGCAAAAAGAGGCTAGGAGCTTGAGGCTGGAGATGGCACTTGCGTGGCACTTGACCCTGGCTAAGTGCTGGCGTCAATGGTATCCATGGATGTCCCAGACCAGAGGTACAACCCAGCTACATAAAACTAGAGGCCCCTCCTGCTCGCCTCTGAAAATTGGATGCGACGACTGCCTACGTCTTAGAAGCGTATTGCGGGGATGGTCGCCACCCGAGCTGATTGAATCTGTAGCTGTAGTTGTAGTTCGGGACCAGGCTTTGGAACCACGAAGAACGAGCATCTTCTGTGGCGAGTTTTTGGGCTGTCTCGTTGTCTCGGTACCACTATACGCTGGGAGATAGATACTCTGCTGGGTATCAAGAGAAAAAGAATGGAGAAGGGTGGAAGTGAATAAGACAGGGACATTTGCCGTTTCTCCTACGGTATACATGTATGACACGAGGAGGTATCGCTGCGACGCGCGAAGCAATGAGACGGCAAAGCTCGTTCGGGGCTGCCCGCAGAGAGACGGAAAGGGCTACGAAAGGGCAAATTCTTGTCCTTGTGCTGAGTTATCGCTGCGAGTCAACCAAATTGTAACTCCATGTGATGGAATTGTAGCTCTACATGACGGTTCACTTCATTGGTTCTCGAAGAGAGAGGAGGGGCAAAGAGGGTAAAGAAATACGGGCAAGTTCCATCGACATACCACCGTGCGTTTCTCAACAGCAGCGGGTAGGGATGGCAGTAACTTTACCACTTAGGCGGATGAGGGTGGGACTGCACTTCTTGTAGAATTGGGGCGAAGAAATGGATCCATCCATCAGGTATGGCCAGATGTCTTGGTGGGTGAAGTTTGTGTTAAGAATAGGAGGGAACGGGCTTGTTCTGTGTCAAGTCACCCCAAGCGGATGCATCCATCGTTTGGACTTACGCAATCGATGCAGGGAAAGGCTATCTTGACACTAGAACACACAGCCCAACAGCTGACGCGAGGTGAAGAATATGGATGTCAAGGGCTGGCGGCTATGAGATACGAAGCCATCCTCAAGAACCGACATATTAGTTCGTTGACTCATGCTAGCTTTTCGGTGGGAACTAGGGTTTGATGCGGTGTCTGTTATCCTACCTAGGTAGAACTGATGGAATTCAAGGAGACGACGCTCCCGGAGCTCGATGAACATGGCTTAGAGTAGTCTATCAATATCCCTCAAAAGTTGCACTGGGCTGCGTGGCGGCATTTGTATCACGCGCTGTTGAGAATCTTCAGGTACAACGGTAGAACGTGACTGGACTCGGCAGGGGAAAAGATGCGTGTGCCTCAAGTGCTCCTATCACCTTTA